GATCCAGCTCACCACCAGGTGGTGATCAGTTGACAGCTCCACCCCTCTCTTCACCCGAGTGTCCAAGACATACGGCCGGAGGTCAGATGAAACAACCACAAAGTCGATCATCAACCTCCGGCCTAGGGTGTCCTGGTGCCATGTGCACTGACTTATGCTTGAACATGGTGTTCGTTATGGACAAACTGTGGCTAGCACAGAAGCCCAATAACAAAACACCACTCGGGTTCAGATCGGGGGGGCCGTTCCTCCCAATCACGCCCCTCCAGGTGGCACTGTCGCTGCCCACATGGGCGTTGAAGTCCCCCAGTAGAACAACGGAGTCCCCAGTCGAGGCCTTTTCCAGTACCCCTCTCCCTTTCCCTGCCCCTTTCTCTCTGAAGCAGTGTCAACAATTAAGCCAAGTTTAGACTGTTTGGATTAGGTCAACAACAGGTGTCATAGAAGACTGCTAGGATTAAAATCTTAAATATTATGTTTACAGTCTAAAATCATGCCAAAACAAATTGGTTTGTTAAAATCCTTTACAAACTGAGAAAGTAAAAAAACTGCAGTAGACAAAGGTTGGAAACCATTCACAGCCTTTCAACCTTTGGAATATAAATGATCTCTTGGCCTATGCAAGTGTTCTGTCTGAGGTACTCACTTCATCTTGTAGGTCTTTGCTCCAATGACCAGAGAGAGCAGCTGGTGTCCGAGGCAGATACCAAAAACTGGCTTGGGTTGATCCACACAGACCACCTTCCTCACATTGTTGATGGTGGTTTGACAGAGCTGAGGATCCCCGGGACCGTTACTGATGAACAAACCATCAAAATCTAAAAAAAGCAAAATGGACACGCCTGAGTTAGCAGTGAAAAAGACATACACCTGACCCAAAGAGCCAGTTTCCTTCCACCAACCGATGGGCTCAGGGCTCGTAGTTCAATCCCCAGCTCCTCCTGTTCACATGTTTGAGTGGGTTTGAGCAAGGAAACAAAGCTCATATTGCTCCCCAAATGTGAGTCACTTTTGAACCAGGCTGTAAACATGTTTATTTCTGCTGTAAAGATGGGCATTTTAACAGGGGAGTCTATGGGGGACTGCCTCCCTTTTGGAGCCTCTAGAGGCCATTCGAGGAACTGCAGGTTTTGGCACTTCCACACTGGCTTCATTCCTCAGTCTCAGAAGCTGCTGCCTGCTGGGTGTCTGTGCCTGGATCGAATGCCTGCATCATGTGTTACTGACCTGCGCTGTCCAGCGGATGGTCCCAGGGTACCACAGTAACACAGGCTCCTCTCTGAGCCAGGCAGCGTATCTGGTTGTATTTGATGCCACAGTCCACCGCTGTGATTCGCAGGCTGCCATTGGGGTTGAACACTTTGGGTTTCTGGAGAGAAACAAAGGAGAGGCATCCAATATGTTGATAAACGGGTTGAAAAAACAAGCAGCTGGCTACCACTAACAATGGCGCGTACTGTTAACTGTATTATCTATATGTATTAAGTCAAGAACAAGTTCTGTCAGCCTCCATTTGGTACTCATGTTTTATAAAACTCGACAACAGAGAGGCAGACACACAGCAGACAATTTAGCATTTCATTGCAGGGTTCTTATTAAATTCTGGGTTTTCCACTCATAAGGTTCTTAAGCATCTGGTGGGCTACCTTCATAGAGACCTCCTGCACCAGGTTTCTCTCATCAGGACTATCAAAGGTAATACTGTCTTCAGGGGTCCCATCCACAACCAGCTTCCCCAGCATGGTGCCTTTCTCTCTGATCTTTTTGGTCAGACAGCGGGTGTCAATGCCTGGATAAAAGGAAAATAAGGTCAAACAAACAAAGGTGTTTCTATTTTTTTCAATAAAATACAGCATTTTGTCATTTTTACACAATTTCTGGTTCAAATATAGCAGCCTACCCCTAGTCTGAGTTCTAAAGAGCTCTATAATGGCTGTCTACACTTGGTTCTAAATCTACGATGATTACATTTCCATTTCTTATTAAAATATTTATTTAAAAAAAACTACATTATCTGTTAAATTTAGATTTATATTTTCTGACCTTGTAATCCAGGAACACCTTGCTCTTGGAGCCACTGATCCAATGACTTCACTGAACTCCAGTGACTGGGATTCTCCGACAGCTCTCCGATAATCAGAGCTGCTGCATAGATCTTGGACGACTCAAACCACTGAGCAAGACAAGAGAAATACAAGACAACACATCACTATGTTGTGGTGGTGCAAGCCTTTTTTTCCATTACCTTTATTTAACTCCTCATTGCTCAACATCATCCTGAGCTTTTGTGATTGTTCAACATGTAGCAGGGATGGAAAAACTCACTTCACAAAGCAAGATCTTGTACTGGAACACAGCATTTTCTCATCCATATAGACTTAAATACCTTTTATAGACTTGTATTTGTAGGGGACAGAACAATACCAACCAAACCATACTGGACAAATTAGACAAGCAAAACTTACCCTGCTCAGTCCAAACTCTCCCTCCTCATCCTTTGGGACACCATAGTTGCCAATCAGAGGGTAGGTGAGGGTCAGCAGCTGGCAGTGGTATGACGGGTCCGTAAGAGCCTCAGGGTAGCCCACCATCCCTGTCTGAAACACTGAGCACACATATATTCATCAGTACATAATACTGCCATCAAATTTCTGCCTGCCAACCCAAGTTTTAGAGCACTGCTTTGTAAAAGGCATACATACTGTGGTATTTTAATGGTACTAAAATGTATTAACACTGTATTTATCAGTCACTTAACATGAATTGATATAAAAGCTGTGTTGCTTATTTTTAGTTGTTGACTGTGTAGGGCGCATTCCATTCTGTTGTGTGTAGTTTGTGCTGCCAAACTATGCTGAAAATTCCATTAACTTTAGTGACACCTGGCTCATCAGCACAAGTAACACGGTTCAAAGAGCAGGGTTTGGCATCATAAGTCAATATTGCCTCATCTTTAATTCGGCCACGTTCCATTCAACGTAACGTTATTGCAACACAGCTCATTTTCTCGCCAAGGAAGTTACGTGGTGGAGGTTTGGCGCTTTACAAGTGATGTATGGATGTCGTGGCACATTACGGTGCGCGATGATATAAACATTCAGTGCTAGAATACATAAAACAAAATGTCTGACCAAACGTTACTGCGCAGGTGGATTTTGTATGGGCTAGCTAAAGTAGCAGCAATACATCAAAGTTTCAAGTTAGCTAATACTTCAAAATACTTACCAACTTCTCCAGACACCGATACGTTTGCACCAAAAAGGCGGCCTCTGAACGTCGTTCCGTCCTCTAGAACCAAGGTTGCCATCTTTGACATGTTTTCGCAGAAAGCTAATGCTAACCACAGATACAGGAGAACTGACTGATGCTACGGAGCAGTGATGGTCCCCAGTCTCCACGTGAAACTCACGCCGCGCGGAGAAGTACAGGATGCAGATAAGACTGAACAAAACCTACCGATTAACACTTGACTGACCGTCGGGATGAACTCTGTCAGCGTCTAGAAGAATCCGGTATAAATGAGCGGATTTTAAAACAGAAAAGCTGCTTCAGTTTGGCAGTTTAACACATAGTCGGTTGGGGAGATACAAGAAAGCGTTCCACACACGCCACCAGCAGTGTGGAAGTCGGCCCGTAGCCCGGACCGGAAAGTTTGGCACAGTAACACACCGCATTTCCGCTCGGATACCCCAAAATAAAGAAAAGCTTTGTGATAAGCTTCTCTGGGCCAAATGTTTGACACTACAAGTAAAGTGAGGCTGTTTTGAAATATGTCGCTATATATGGTTTTATTTACCAATAAACATACGAATTGCAGGAAAAACCTAAATTACATCGATATTTTGGTTGGACCACCCGTTGTCCAAGGTACACATGCACATAGGTTTTCATGGCAAGAGCTGTAACACAAAAATTTGGGACCTGTATGCCAACCCCCCCGCAACCGGAAGTCAACTGGTAGGAGTCTGGGTCCGACCCAGGGTGCGTGCTCTATGGGTCCAAAAACACAGAAGCATGCAAAACATTTTATGGCTATTTAATTTACTCTTTACGTTCTTTTGTTGATTAATGAATTAATACATTAAAAATAATAAAATTCACTTTCGCCAGTACTGTGCCTCAATATTTATGTGATGTGAAATCTGTAATATCATGTTGTCATTCATATAGGGCTTTAATGTGAAGGTAGAACCGCTTATATCCGGTACAATCAGAAAACTTTACGCATTTTGGCGTCGTTTTAGGTCATCCCGCTCGCATCCCCTCAAAATAACTCAATTAAGTGTCTTATAAAGTAATGTTCATATGGATAGTCATGGCAATGCTTTTATTGCCGCACCTGATCTGTCCTCTGACGCCGACACTGAGCCAATACGCAAAGCGGGAGACTGACTTCCTACAGAATGATCCCCATTAGCGACACGTTTCTGTCTCGCACCATTTAATTGTTAATACATCGACAGTAGCCTACTATTCAGCAATCTCTGGGAAATGATCCATTCTAAGAGTTTCTGCGATTTTAGAAAAGTGGTAAAACTTTTGCACGTGTCACAATTACACTTTTTTTTTAAGTTGAGAAAAGGGTCAAAATTATACAATATATATGTACAATATTATTGTTTTAGGGAATAATTGATAATCAACCAGTCATAGAAAACAAACCAAAACAAGCCAGAAATGTAAGAGCTAAAATAAATAAATAAATTACTGACAGGCGGTTGCTTGTGGATGGGGATGTAGCTCAGTGGTAGAGCGCATGCTTTGCATGTATGAGGCCCCGGGTTCAATCCCCGGCATCTCCAAGTGTGTTTTTTTTCTTCTCCCCCCCCAACCACCAGGTGCCGATTAAACATGGCCCTCTGGATGTCTAGTGTAGACGTTGAGAACTGAGACCTCTTTTTGCTGACGTGCTACTGTCTTAAACATGGCTCCCAGAGGTTGCATTGCAGTATTTCACCAGGATAAGTATTAGATTTCATAAAAGCATAACCCTGGTACTGGCTACTGCAGTAATCCTCTGCCACACCCTGACCTTCCAACGGGCTGGCTGTGGAGCACAGTTTAGACAGTAACCTGAGCCAGAACAAAGTGAAGAGCTAAAAATACTGATGGGCGTCAGTCCCATGGCTGTAAAACTGAGACAGGGGCCGTGGAGGGTCTTTACATGGCGTTAGGCACGCAGAGCGGTAGACAGCTGGGGAGAGAGATGGCCTAAGAGTGAGGCAACAGTCTAGTTGAGTTTAAAATGGTAGAAAGAGTCAAGATGGATGAATACAGAGCTGGATGAGCTTTGAATTCAAAAAGAAGAAGCCAGAATATCCCCCTCTTTGTGTTTCTGGAAGCTTCTGCTTGTTTCCCTCTTCTGTAATCTCTGATATTTTACTCACTGCCCTCGAAGGGGATGAGCTTTGCTCTTGGCTTTGAGCCCCCATCAGCTAGCAGTCCTGGGCCCAGCGCTGGCAGTGGAGCCACCATGGAGAATCTGGAGAAGCAGCTGATCTGCCCCGTGTGCATGGAGCTGTTCTCAAAACCTGTGGTCCTCCTGCCCTGCCAGCACAACCTCTGCCGCAAGTGTGCCAGTGACATATTCCAGGTGATACTGAGGGTGAACTACGTCGGTGCTACCTTAATCTATTTTACATTTTCACAAACAAATATAAAAGGACCAAGGAGATACTGTATGTCATGTTTGCCTTGGATATGAAAACATGTTTTTTGTGGTGCAGAAAATAGAATGTATTTTGTCCAGATTGTCAGAGGAGTCTGAGGATCCTGCAGCTATCTCAGGACAGTTAAGCATTGTTAAGTGACCTCCTTGGTTTTCTGTGACTGATTGATGAGTTTTATCTTTTGAGAAAATATCATTAGCTCCGTGACTTGAATGTAGTGATAACACAGGAGAGAGGCACAGTCTAACACATTGTTCAAAACTGGTGCAAGACGTTTCATCACAACACAAATCAATGTTTATCACCAGTGCTGCTCATTCAGCTTAGCCATGTCAAAGGCCTCTTGATGGGAACCTCTGCGGTCTGTCAGTGGTTTGTCTTTCTGTAGGGAGCCATTATTGGACACATCTTTTTTGATTGTTTTCCTCTGATCATACTGCTGTGATGCTTCCTTTGACCTTTTGACCATGCTTCTTTACTTTTAACTTTTTGTAAAGTGACCTAAGGTGATAGCATTGTAGCTAGAAAATAAAATGGACAAAGGTTAGTGCCTTTCTTCTTTATACTTTGTGCTTTCCCTTTCTTGTTTGCCAGTCTGCTAACCCTCAGTGGCAGTCCCGCAGTTCCTCCAGCATCACAGCCATTGGTGGCCGTTTCCGCTGTCCATCGTGTCGCCATGAGGTGGTGCTGGACCGGCATGGGATCTATGGCCTGCAGAGAAACCTGCTAGTGGAGAACATTATAGACATCTACAGACAGCAGGAGTCCTCCAGGTAAGTGTGTTAGGGTGTTTTTCAATACCTAGTGTGCCAAATTTGGACTCCCATACTTGGGAGCTCAGACTTGGTGATTTCCATATTGGCAAGTTACAAATTTGGGGCCAATGTGCAGCAGGACTCTCCCCGGCCGGGAGGAAATAACTTAGCCATAGCACCATATGTCTCATTTTTACACAAACCAAACAATTGGATTTTTCACAATTTGTGGTTTATGATTTCATAGAACTAGTGATTCAATTTACATTTTACATGTATTTCAAATGTGCCATCCCTCTTTGAGTCTGTGTCCCATCCTGGCCACCCCACTCAAAACGTTCTAGAGCTACCCCTGTATGGAGGGAAGGTACCAGGTAACACTTTCCTTTAAATCCCCATATAAGCAGCAGGACTGTGCCCTTACAATATAAACATTTAGTAAATGGTTTATTAAGGTAATTTTCAACTTGACCTGCCCCTGTGTACACCTACATAGTAATATAGTAAAACACAACTGTTATGATATAAAATATGTCTTCATAAGAAAAATAATTCTTGACACTCAAAAATATCTCTATGTCTAAAAGGTTTAAAAGATTCAGCAAGAAAAAAGTCACTGTACAGACTCTACAGTGAGAATGGGCTTGCTATTGTAAGAATGAGTGACTGCCAACAGAGAGCAGCATTGTTCTCCATCACTGCCAGTCTACAGGTTCCTTGTAGAATCGATGGAGCCATACTCTATGTAGTGTTATGCTTTTTTCCATTGCAGGCAATAGTTTATACTTAGTGTAAATACAAGAGTAAATAATAAATAATAGTCTCTTGCAACTTATGCAAAACAAATTTTGTATCTAAATAGGTTATATGGAGCCATGGGCAGAGCCGGGGGGGTGCACCCCTTCCAGAGTCAAAATGTGATGCTTGTTAATAGTAATGAATGAAAAATAATGACCAGTTGTTTCCTTAAATACACCTAACATTTTTCCGGTGCTTTATAATTGATACTGTAGCAGTGCTGTCCCCAGCTGGGAGTAAGTAAGGAGCGCAGCCAAAAAAGCATTGTGTGTCTCATTTTTACACAAAATAAACAGTTAGATTCTTAATAAAGTAGGGTTTATTATTTCACAGAACTAGTGGTTCAGTTTACTTTTTAAATGGCTTTCAAATGCAAATGCACCACCCCTCTCATTGTCCCAGCCTGGCCACCCCACCCAAAATTTTCTAGATCCGCCCCTGTATGGAGCATTAGTCACCATTTCAACACCACAGTAAAACATTTGCAGCCTGTTCTGTGCCTGTGCTGGTGCTGCAGAGATTGAGGAGAGCAGCAGTTTTACAAACCTACAGTATGACTGCCCACGGCTTTGTTAATATGGTTATCAGTCAGCAAACTAATGGCTTAAAATAGATCTTGTCATCTGAAGTCTATTGCCACTTTGTGTAACAAGAAAAACGTTCCAAGTACGAGCCTCTTCAGTACATCTTCAGGTCTTTTATGTGTACACACTCAATTACAACTCTCCACTGATATTTAAGTCATCCTCAGCCTAGATTTGTCACTTTCACTTCTGTATAGAAGCTAAATGAGTCACTGGTAAAGAAAAGCGATGCTGGCGTTCATTAGACACAGAAGGACAGGAGTCCCCTCACTGTCCGTGTGGGCGCCAAGAGGCAGAGCGATTGTTCACAAATGTTTCATAACTCGTAGTTTCTCATCATGTTTTCATTACTTAATCATCGTTTCTGTCAGAGACACCTACGTCAGAGGACAAAGGATTATTTGTTGGATTGAATTTGGTGACTACTAAATAGCCTTTGCTGATTAGGATGGTACAGTGCCAGAGCCACCCATGTCCCGACTGCTTCCATATACCAGTGAGGCCTTTACAGCAAACTTGCTGAGTGGCGTGTGTGTAGCTGGTTATTCATTTCTGCTTCTAATTAAATGTCTGGCAGTGAAAGGATGGTGCACATTTCACATTGGCCGTGACAAATCTGGGAGGAACATGACATAAATATCGATTTATCATGTCCTCTGGAGGTGTACTGTAGAGCAGGAAGCTACAGGTGAGTAGTGACACACTCCTGGTGGCAAAAAAACCGCATCTCAAAAACAGCCATCTCAGCTAAACTCTTTACTTAGTTCTCCACCATCATCTCCTGACGTAAAAATACGTCAGTGATAATAAAAGTAAACTGAGCTGCTTCAGCAATACACACACAGTTGCCAGGTCTGGTGGACAGTCTGCCACTTGTGCATGGAAATGAGACTAAAAACTGGCTGAGCTTTCTTTTATTTAAGGGTTCCTTTAACAAGTGCATCAAATGATGCCAAGAAGCCTGCCTGTACAGCTTCTGTTCTTTTTGAGAAAGAATGAAAACCCAGGAAGACTGGCTAAGCTCCTGATTATTCATACTGCTTGTTTGGGGGGGTGCAAACACAAGCTTTTGTTCTTCTTTTCACCAGACTAGATGCATCACTACCTCCGTATTTACTACACTTTTTGTTTTATATCAAACTGAGATCCAAAACTGACTTAACCATTAATTATTCAATTACAGTGGGCGATAATAAAAGTGTTTATATTTATAAAGTATGTCCACATTCACTCACATTTCAATCTCTTTCTCATCCTGTTGTTAATCTGCAAAACCCACATCAGTTGTTTATGTGGTCATTATTCTTCTCTTGGAGGTAATTTTGTCTTTTTTTTTTTTTTGTCCATTTTACATCTTTTTGAATTAAAAGTGAGGACGGCGGTCCTGGAAACACCAGCAAGAGGGAGCTCGATTTTGAAAGTAGCCAACTAAAGAAATCCCACCCTTTTTGTTCTGACTTCTCTCCAAAGCCACTCCTCTAAATCCCAACACACACTACTTAAGGGATTTCAGGAAAATAACAAATGCTTCCTAAAACAAAACTGATAACTACCTGTCCAACAGAGTCACGGCCACCATGGCGTCACTTTTCAGACCCTTTCGTTCTCTCAGTTGTCACCGTCATTCAAAAGCCATGCCAGTGTTAATTCTGGTTTTACTTCTTGCAACATCCAACTTCTTTTTTTAGTTGTAACGTTCTCAAATACGGTTTCCAATGGCAACCAAAAGCTGCTGTGCTTGCTAGCTTTAGCTATCAAAACAGATTGGCAATATGTTTGCCTGCAATTGCAAAGCCTTGTGGGAGATTCTTGGCTCACACAATGAAAGCAAGGGCAGAGTGCATACCAAGTAGGAAGCTAGGTTGACAGGAAAGTAGGCCATCCAGTGGTTTTGCTTGGACCGAGTAAAATTATTGGCCTGGCATGTTTCAGCCATGTATTCATTGCCATTGGGACGAAAAGAGACGTAACAGAAATTAATTTCCTATGCTACCTTTAATTTGTTTTTTGTCATGGTTATTTCTCCATGCCTTTATGGTTGTTTTTCGTTTTTTAACTGAGCTCTCACTTCCAAACTAACTAATATGTCACATCACACAGGGGCCCCCTGTCCTCTGGGGTCCCTGGGCCTGTGTTCATTAGGCCACTCCAGTAATCCATTAGACTTTGTTCAAAAGAAGAGCTTCCAGAGAAGAGTATTAGTAAAGAGCCAATTGTGAAAATGCAGGTAGACTTTATGGCTTTTTAAGAACTGAAAAAAGAGTGAAAGAAGCCTGGAAATGACAATTTGATGATCTGTTTACACGCTTTGTCCCTTCCAGGCTTGTAAACATAAAGTCAGAGAAGCAGCAGCAGCATCTGAAGTGTGAAGAGCATGAAGAGGAGAAGATCAACATCTACTGTCTGTCCTGCCAGACGCCGACCTGCTCCATGTGTAAAGTGTTCGGACAACACAAGGACTGTGAAGTGGCTCCTCTCAGCAGCGTCTACTTGACTCAGAAGGTAAGAATCGGTGATAGTTTACTGCAGCTCACTTCACAGTAAGATACCAACCAAGATGAAGAGATTCAGAGACAGGGTCGGTGGTGAGTGTTGGAAGTGAAGTGATAAGTTTTCAAAAAACTGAGCACGCTCTCAAGTGAAGCTGAAGCTAGTTTAAAGGTCAAAGGACCACTAAAGAGCATATGCAATAGTCTAAACTCCAAAAACTGCATGTGGGAGGGCGACTACTCATGAGGGATGCTGGCCTTTAATCTCCCATACATACTGTATTTCTCCTGTTTCTAATTTAAAATATTTCCTCTACTTCTCTGTTTCCTTTCCTGTTTGGATCCTGGTATCTCCTTTCAAGACATTAACACGAGCCAAGATACACAGTGAGCTACCAGCAAAATGTCAGTGCATAGTACACAAGTAAATATGTGACCACTGATATCAGGACACCTACACACAGCTGGTTATGTAGCCACCTAATGGTCGGTTACAGTAGAAGCAGACATCGGTTGATGCATAATCAAATGTGTACATCAAAAATATCATATGAAAAATTTTCACTTTTGGATTCACAAAGTCATACAAAGACAAAGTGCAGCAGTTTTGACATGCAGATGGCAGCAGCACTGTCCGGCATGTTATCGAGCAGTTGTCTTTGCTGACATTTCAGTGCTGGCCTCTACATCTCTCACTCTGTCTCTGATTCACTCATCTGAAATTTAGATGAGGCTGAGGAAAGTTGTTGATCCTCAGTCTCCATGCAAACGTTTATCAGTTATTTCATTTGGCCTACACAGAGGTGAGAATGTTTGTTACACCAGCAGCTCGTTGAGTAACTCTTTAACTGTGACAAACTGTAAAAACGTGTGTGATACGCTAAACAGATGCTGCTGCTGACTCATGTTGTGCTTTAGGTGGCGACTAGCCTACAAACTAGAAAGTACTCGGAGTGCATTCCTCGGCAACGTCCTGCAGGTTTAACAAGAGAAAATGTTTCGAAATCTCATCTGGATGTGGAAATGATTTAGAAACATGACCACAACATTATGGTTAAATTCATCATTTTGCTGCAGCATCATCTATATGCGAGTTGATATGGGTTCTGTGCTATGTATTCAAGAGTTATAGTAAATATGATATGTACCAAATTAGGTGAAGACTGGCTAACCTTAACTGCACATTGCCTCCTTCTTCTTCTTTCCTGCTGCTGTTACATGACAGTTGTGAGTTGAGAGGCTGTTGTGAAGCCCAGGAGAGTGAAGTCAGGTGGTTTTATTGTTTTGCTGTTTTGGCTGTTTAACGAAGATGAATCAAAGAGTGACTGTACAAATTCAGAATTACCTCTATGGGCATGATCAACAGCGATTTCTAAATTCAAACTGGTGGAAAATCTCTTTTTGCCAAGAGAAACAGTGACATCAATCAGAACAGAAAAGGTGACTATGTCTTTCTGGGTTTACATTTCTGACCCCATTACTGCTACTCATAGAAACTAGTTAAAGTAAAGTAAAGATAGTGAAGTTGCACTTGAAGATTATTCTTGGAGGAGTGTCAGTGGCTAAAGAAACATCTGTGATGTTCTGAATGTTTGCAGAAAGAGCTGAGTGACGGCATCGCCATCCTGGTCGCCAGCAACAACCATGTCCAAGGAGTCATCTCTCAGATGGAAGACATCTGCCACACTGTGGAGGTTAGACACACACACTGTCACGACATGGTACAAAATAGGGACACTTTATTCTATAAAGAATATAAATTCAGTTCAATTCAAATTCAGTTTTATTTGTATAGCGCCAAATCACAACAAAAGTCATCTCAGGACACTTTACAAAGTAAGTTCCAGATCTTAATAATATTAATATTCATTCATTCATTCATTCATTTTCTACTGCTTAATCCGTGAATGGGGTCACGGGAGGGGCCGGAGCCAATCCTGGCCGGCAATCGGGCAAAGGTGGGGTACACCCTGGACAGGTCGCCAATCCATCGCAGGGCTAACTATAATATTAATATTATAGAGGAAAAAGACAGCAAATCCTCCTTGAGCAAGCACTTGGCGACAGTGGGGAGGAAAAACTCCCTTTCACGGAAGTAACCTCCGACAGACCCTGGCTCTTGGTGAGCGGCCTTCTGCCTCGACCGGTTGGGGTGAGTGGATAGAGGAGAGACAAAGGAAGAAAAGCAACAAGACACAACAAATAATCAAACACAGGTCAGGTTGATGTGGCTGGTGACTGCTCACATGGGGCCCCCCAGCAGCCTAGGCCTATAGCAGCATAACTAATTGAAGGCTCAGGGTCACCTGATCCAGCCCTAACTATAAACTTTATCAAAAAGGAACATCTTAAGGCTAATCTTAAAGGTAGAGAGGGTGTCCGCCTGCCGAACTGAGGCTGGGAGCTGTTGATTACTTTCTTTCAACACTGTGATGTTGTTGAGAACAGAAATGCTCTGTCTCACCTCAGGAGAACGGTCAGCGACAGAGAGAGCAGCTGGTCAGCCAGTTCGACAGCCTGGTGGCCATCTTGGATGAGCGGAGGCAGGAGTTGGTGGGGCTGATCACCAACGAGCAGGATGAGAAACTTAAACATGTTCGATCCCTCATCCGTCAGCACGGCGATCACCTGGAGGCCGCAGCCGCACTGGTGGAGTCGGCCATTCAGTCTATGGAGGAGCCGCACATGCCTTTGTTTATACAGGTGGGGAACACTACAAGGCAGTGTGAGGAAGAGTAGCCTGTATCTACTGTTTGCAGGGTTGGAGTGACCAAAGCGAGGCTGTTTAACTCATGTCCTTAGCTTTTTTTTTCTCAGAATTTAGTTACAGTGAAAACATTAGGTCAGTTTGTGACAAGAAAGGAGACAGGTCTGAATTCTTTGTTAAATTAGTGGGAAAATGCATTTAATGTTAAAATCCAATAGGTTTCACAGTGTAGTAGCAGCAGTCTCTCCAGACCGCATCCCTTTTCTCTACCAATACAGTTAAGCTGGGAAACTGAATGGCTAAAATGGTGAGCAATAGGAGACACAACATCTGCCTGCACAGCTCATTTCTGTTCATCTGAACTCACCTCACACTTCACAGCTCTTCCATTCACCTTTCACCCATCGATACTTTTGCAGCCACAGGTTTCACTGGACAGGATGATTCATCCTCAGGAGTCCCCAGGCCACATGTGTACAGCTGCAGAGTGAGGAGCGAAACACGAGCACAACCCTCCTGGGACAGCTGCTTCTCTGGTCCCGAATATCTTAAAATTGTCACACGCATGATTTATTCATAGAGCTGCACAGATAATGAAGAGCAGGACAGTCCCTCCATGTACTGTATTGATCAACCAATCAATAACAGGCTCATACATCCACTGAATTCTAAATAACCACGCACACCAAAATGCAAAATAATGCATAAAATTAAACCATAACTAAGAAGAAGAGTCATGTTGAAGAAAAGTTAAAAGCTTTTGAACCTCCATTACATTCTGCCCCACAAAGCCAAGTCACAGTCTCGACACATGAGGTCCAGATTTAGTCCAGATTTTGATCTCCAGTGGGAAATTCACAAGCTACCCGGCAGTAGTTCAAATTCTAAGCATATAAGCTAATGGAAGCTTCCTCCTTCTTTACCAGCTGTAACATTAAATCACATCATCACTTATTATAACCCAATAATATGATATACATGAAAGGTAAATGTGCCACTCCCTTTAGCATGTTACCGTAGGTATGTTTTGATGCCAATACTTTTGTATTTTTACTTAAGTAACATTTTGAATGTATTTTTACACTGTTGCTACTTTTACTTATGTAAGTGAGGAACCTGAGTGCCACTTCCACCACTAGCTGGATGCAGACTGAGGTGTTTCTATGCATTGCCTAACTGTGCATTATTATTGTGGCATAGAACTAAGATGGAAAATGTGACTAAGAGCCTAGTTATTGTTTTCCACACACTTCGATGACTTTTGTGTTTAGTAAAAAAAAAAAAAAAAAAAAGTTGCAAAATGATAAAACAGTTGACAGTTGGCCGGTCCCTCAGCCTCTGATGAGACAAGCAGGTTGTTACTAAATCCAGCATCCTCACTGCTGAGGCAACACGCCTGCGTCACTCCGTCTCCTCTGAGGAAAGTGTGTCTTTGTTTTGTGTGTGGGAGAGAGAGAAAGTCGGAACCTCAGGTGTCACTGCTTTATGTTCAGCCACATCCTCTGCCAAGGAAGAGAGCAGGTAGTAAACACCAGCTGGCTGCGCTTCTTAAAACCATGTTTTTATTTTACACTGTGACGTGTCTGCTTGGCACAGACGACTGAAGCACAGTGTGATTAATATGGTCTCTTTCCTCCTTTCTGTCTGTTTCTCTTCGCTCACACTTGCAGAGCGCCAGAGTCATCCTGGAAGAGTAAGTCCAGTTTCCTGGCGACGCCTGTTCCTGCATGAAGCTTCTGGTTGAATGTGGTCAGACTTTAATTCAACTGATGTCCCGTACTGGAGTTCTTCCACTTGTACCTCACTACATTTCAGAGGGAAACATTGTGCTGCAGTGGTGGAAAGTAGCCGATTCTGATTCTGAAAATTGACAAGCTACTCAGCAGTAATTCATTTTAAATGCATATAAGCTAGTTAAAACTAGCTCCTTTACCAGCTGCAAAATTAAATGTGAAATAGACGGTAATGCATCAGTAACTATAATCTAACAATATTATATACATTATTGTTTAATGTACCATTCTGCATAATGACTACTTTTACTTTTAGTACTTTAAGTATATTTTGATGCCAACACTGTTGTATTTCTATTTTTACTTAAATAATGGATGTGTGCACTTCTTCCACCACTGCATTCCTATAACTTGTGATTAAACAAAGTCAGCGGTAGCTGTTAGAGTACAACTGCGCTGCCTTGTGTCATCAGCTCTACATCAGACATTTGGTCATTTCGTATACATTCCGCTGCCGAGAGATCGAAACAGTGGCGTCACTGCCAGCCCACAGGGGAGCGACGAAATGTGTGTGTGTGTGTTTGGTTTGCTGATGGATCGAGCCAATACCGGCCTTTTATTAGGCTTGACATCTGTGACCTTTGAACGGATGTTTGCCTGATTAAATATTTATTGTTACATTTATCAGTACGATGCTGGTGGCACATTAGGAGCCATTAACCTAAAACGGGTCTGGTATGCATGAGGACGTGCTGCAAGGTCAGACTACTGTAATGTCAACTAGACCTTTCCAAATGGATGATTCATTTTAGAGCAAAAGATCAGCTATCGGACTAATATCTAAAAAGTATCAGCTTTTAGGAAGCAAACCCCGACATACATAACCACACACTGCAGTGTGTATGGATGTATTTTTTATTCCAACTTACAAAAAGAAAATTTGCCATAACTAACATGTTGTGTTTCAATTTTATTAATGTTTAAAATCCAGATGAATGAAATTTAGTGTTACAATCTGTAACACTACAGTCTGTAAAAAGCACACCTATATATATTTTTTCTTATTTGCATGAATGTTGCCACAAACTGAGCTTTTTCTTTTGCTGTAGTTACATTTCTAGGGATATACGATGGTAATATTGTTGCAGAATTACATTAGGATTGTGCAGTGGCCCTTAAGGACAAAGCACATATGGAAGCGCAAACACTAAGGAACACATGGCCAAAATACAAAACCACATAAAGTGAAAGAACTGAATTTTCATGTTCGGTCCGGTATGTAAAGCCTGACGTACATGCAAAAGTACAAGCTTGTCACCCTCCCTCGCATCCCAGAACACTTCTGAAGTAGCAGTACTTGTTGCACGTGCTTGCATATTTGTATTTGGAGCATGTTTCCCTTCATGTTTGTGTTTCCTCTTGTGTATGTGCTTTGTCCAGAGGGGCCACCGTAGGTTTGGCTTTGAAAAGCCTGCAATTTTAAACATTCACTTGAACAGAAATTCAGTCAAACTCATCTGACTGGATAGAACGTGTATGCTGCCTGCCTCAGTCGGGACAAAGACGTACATTTACTCAAGCACTGTGCTTCAGTATTTCTATTTTATTCTACTTTATACTTCACTGCTCCACCACATCTCAGTGGGACACTGTCTGCTTTTTACGTCATTACATGTACCTGACAATGTTCAGACCAGTTGCCGTCAACCTTTCTGACTTGTGACCACTCACAAAATAAACAGTTGTGGCAGGATCTGAGTACTTTTTTCTACTGACTTTGTGTGTTGTGTGTACTGACAGAATGGCAGTAGCAGCGAGAGCCTCCAACATGGAGCGTCCAGAGCTCGGGTACGAGAGTATGAGCCATTTTGTTATTGATACCAACGACCTTGCCGAGATGTTAAGCAACATTGATTTTTGCTCTGGTATGTATAATGATATGGTGAAAAAGTTAAGTGTTACCACATACTACAGTATAACAGACACAGTATGGAGCAGCAGAGGAGGTAGAGGAGAGTTCAAGAACCAGATGAACATGTCCACTCAGTTACATCAGTGGGTCACACTTTGTCTAAAGCCCCTAGTTAGCACTTCTAAGTAGCCTTTACACCCTTATTAAATGTTGTATAACACAGATTAAAATTAAGTGTAGGCATGGGCCACATGGCTGCTCGCCTATGCCTAGGTCTTCATTTACACAGGTTTAAATAGCTCTGTTTAGTGTCTGCATGCGTGTTGTATTCATCTCATTGTGAGGACTCGTGTTACAGTTCAGGACAAAGGGCAGCTCCCCACAACATAAACTGTTGACTTCTAGGGTGGAGACAAAACCAGTTTCTGTGTTTCCAGGTGTGGATGATGAAGGAGAAGCAGAACCTGAAGAAGCAGGGGAGGAGCCAGAACTTGACCCCAGCTTCAATTATTAAGACCAAAACAGAGGTAGACTTTTTTTTTTAATGACTAAAAGTGTTTTCTGATCAATTATTAGTGAACAAAAGTATGAAATTCTTTGAGGGGATACAAGCTGAGTGCAAACAAAAGCTCTCTGACCGCAGTAGGGCCTCAGAGTGTGTTCACAGAAGTTCTCGTTAGGCTGCTTTGTAATATCTGTAGGCCCGCACAGCAGCTTGCTGCGTCTCGTACAGAGGTGAGGTGTGAAATCATCTAACAAGACCACTTACGTAAAAGCAGCCTGCTGCAGAGAGTGCAGGATTCCCCTCATCCGCCCAGGAAGGTGATGGCTAACCGTATTCCAGCTGACTCAGTCAAAGGCAGCAACAACAACACCAGCATCCCGCACCACCTCCACCTCCGTACTGGCTGAGCAGTCGGAGGAGTCACTGGTGATTGTTTAGACGTGGGATGATGACACTGATCTCATGATATTCATCTTTTGTTCTTCACTCGAGGTCCCAGCCACAGTCCTGAGGAGATGCACAAACAGAGACAGAAACATAACCCTCTGGAAGAAATCCACACGTTGCTGGAGCGTGAATTCAGTCACAGCAGACATGAAAGAACAATATGAAAAGAAAACCCTGGGTGATGAAAACCGTACCTTTATCCATCTATGGTTCCTCCTGTAACCGACCTGACCAGATGGTTGTCTGTTTGTTCAGTCAGAAAAGTCAGTGTTAATGTGTGTAAATATATATTCCTATATACAGTAGCTTTCTAAAGGCTTCTGCAGACAGGTTTTTGCAGTTTGTCAGTTTTTATAACTCTTTTTCACGGCATTGCTGGAGGAGTGTGTGGTGCATCTGGGTGCTGTGTATGTATGATCACTGAAAAACATGTCCTCTACAACCGCCCATACAGGGTCGGCCAGTGGCTCAGGCGACGTAGGCTGTCGCCTTGAACAGTTAGTGTTGTCGTATTTATAGGGAGGACAGTCTCAACCAGGAGGCATTAAAGTAATTCAGAGGGCGTTAGGGATTTGGGTGGAGGATGGTGGAAGGTGGAGGGAAAAGTTGTATTACACGTCATCTGTTGATTCACAAAGAGAAGTCGGTGACTGTATATTTCAGAGCCTGGTATTGGTCAGGCCTCGCCTCAGTGGTTCTATCTGGGTCAGAATGAATCATCACTGACACAAGATAGATGACCATGTTTCTCCCGCGCTGGCCAGTTCATTTTTTTTTTTATGTACTTTTAATGTTTTGGGCTTTCCTTCAAAATCTACTATTGATCTGTTTACCCCTCATCAATCAGCGGCCAAAAAGCGATGATTGGGTTTTGGCTTTTGCGTGAACACTTTCCCAACAAAGACACATGTTTTTTAAGCATTTTTGTAAGAAGGGATCCGTCTGATAACAGTCACAACCTGGTTTTCAGTCCAATGCACAAAATGTTTTGGTTTTGTGTCTGTTAATGTACATATGGCACTCTTTTCTTTTATTTTATTGCCACTGATTGCATGTTTTATTACTTTACGACTTGTGAAAATGTTTATTATGATGGTTATAATTACTGCTAAGTGGTTGGTGTACATTTTATTGTGTAATTTGATATCTTAATTTAGTTAGCACATCATTAGCACATCCCCTGTGAACAGACTGATTATGCATTTTGGTGATTCATAATTCTTTACATAATTTCACTGGTGCACATCTATACCAAGTGTTGAAGTAACAGAACAAGTGGGCAACACTTCTTACACTTGTCAGTGCCAACCTGCTGTTGTTGCTGCACAGCAGGCTTTTGACTGTGGCTGTAACCACTGAGTTGGTTCTTTAATTAAACTTAAATGAATCAGTTTTAAATGTAAATTTATTTCTGAATAACCTTGTTGTATGGGGACAACATGGTCCACTTTGGTGCATCTTGAAATTTTGGGAAAACACTGTTCAGAATCCAATCTAGGATTTTTTTTAAAAACGTGACTGTAAGAGTTACAAGGTGTTTAGTGATTTTGCGGTGTGGAATAAACTGCTTGCTGCACTGTGAAACTTTGTGCTCTTCTTTCTGAGTTTTGCAGATTCCCAGAGTTTACTGTACGGTGACACACACTTCTGTCACTGCGAAGCGATGTGTGCTGGCATTTGTAAAGCTGAAACTGAACCAAGGCGCAGACACAAACAGAGGGTGATAAGGCAGAAGAATCACAACACACCCACAGTTTGGACTGAGTCACAGAGACAGAGGCTCAGAGGCCATTTTGACTTCTGTGTTTGTCGTTTCGACAACAGGGACAAGACACCATTAACCATAACTTCTAATGCGCCTTCAACTTAAAGGATCTTCAAAGCACTTATATTATCAACAGACTCATGTAACTGTGTACTGATATTCCACTGCAGTTATACGGTGGCCCTAAGGGACAAAGAAAAGGACAAACATTAAAGAAAAAGGCTGCAAATAAAAAAGTCACACAAAAGTCAAAGCACAAACATTAAAGGAACACGCTTGTGATTTAAATTGTAATGTTTGTGCTTTTATTTTTGGATGTTTGTATTGTGAAATAT